CATTTGCACATCAACACAAGCCCCAAGCTCCTGAAAAAGCAAAGTACCACACTGTGGCGATAAGGCAAGCCTACTGTATATGTAACCATGCTCGGTGAGCTGAAGATGTCATATGTTTATTGATCCAGTAACATCCCAACACGTTTAACCTCCTTGTTAGCTTCATGCATATAGTTATAGGAAAACATGCTAATTTGGCTTCAGAAAATTTTCAACAGCACTGTTGTGAACTATCCAGCCATGAAATCTAGGAATGTAGATGAACACTTACATTTTGGGATTTGGTGGCCTCTTTTAATTCATGAGAAGAAAACTTAACTGGCACTGCAGATTTTATATTCATACATAATGCAGCTCTTGTCGACTTCTCCCGACAAACAAAAAAACAAACATGAAAATATGTATCAAGTGGAAGCTGCGTTGGTGATATTGTATATTGCAGAGCTTCCTTTCAGTGGGACTGTCCCTGTACTGCAAGGGTTAAATATGTTTGTTTAGGCCCAGGGAGCTGCTAATGGCGGTTTTACTTACCCAATCCTCTGCTCCCACAAGGCTCTCTCCAGGCTGCCAGACCAATTCCCACAGCCTCTCCCTACCCCCAGGCCCTTCAGTGGTCATAGACCTTTGGATGTCATCAAGTCTACTGCTCAGCCATAGCCCTGCACTGGACAGGAAGACACTGAGGGACAGAGCTTTGCTGTGGGAGCGAAACATCTGGCAAATAAAACTGCATTTTTCCTTTCCACAGAGATAGGCTATAAAAGTATGCAGTGTAAGTACTTAAATATGAACTGGGATCAGCCTGTAGATCAGGGCTGGTGTATAAGAGGTAGAAGCAGTACAAGGAGCCAAACTATTCACATAGTAAGAAGCAAACCGATAGGAGAGAAGAAACACAGAAGAGCTCATCATTGTGCTGATCCCCCTTTACTGTGTAGTCACAGGCCAGGGAGAGTTCAGGACAACCTGGGCTCAAAGTAAGTGGATTGAAAGCTGCTGGTCAGACTGAGGAGATATAGCGGCAGAAAAAAATAAAAAGGGAAGGGGCATCTCTGGAATCAAGATGAAGCAAAAGGTCTCTTTTTTTTTTTTTTAATCTTATAATGAGCTATTTATTGTCTTATTTTGGCTGGAGTTCTGTATTAAAAGGAGTTCATACATTGGAAAAACAATTGAAAAGTCCCACATCACTTGGGTGTCCGCTGATAAACAATGACTAACTGGCTCCTGAGACTTGTGCACTGTATCCATGAAGCAGCAAACAGACCCACATGTTCTAACAATACCAGAGTTTTTCACACAAATCTGTCAGAATAGAAATATGGAGGCTCCAAATTGTTATCGAAGTGATTCTGTACTGATAAAATACTCATGCTGCCACTGTTGAGCTCTTTAGAATTAGCAGTTTTCAGGCCAGTAGCTTTGGTACAATCACAGATGAAGAACAATATGCAGATCAGCAGTTCTTATTTTATGGTTACTTCACTAGCTGCATACTTACTCTATGTCAGCAACTAAGAACCTTTAGAGGCAAGAGCTTATCGTGCAAAACTACATTTTTAGTTCAGTCTCAAATGGCAGCCTCTTTATTTCTCCAAGAACAAATTTTCTTTATATGCAGCTCTAGAACAGTCATGCTTATCCCTTGACTCACTACTTAGTGAATCATTGATCTAGACCAAACACGGAGTACCTTAAAACGATATTAAAAAGTTTCTTAAAAAGTATATTAATCATACATAGATTTTAAAATGATCCCTAAATTCTTAGCACCCCATAGAAATTTCAAAACTAATTTGATATGTCCTCATATTTTACAGCCAGCCAATGCATTTTTTGACATTTACCTAAAACCAAATAGCTTTAGTTTTGGCTATTTTTTTTTTTTATAGCAACAAAACTTATAGGGTTCTTACATTTCAGGGTGAACAAGAGAAAATTGAGTTGTGTATGCGTAGTTTAAAGCAAACGTTTCTACCATTTTCTGCTGCAGTGGAGGATAGGCTGGTCAAGTGGAGGGAACCAAACCTCTGCCTCATATGGCATACAGCTGGAAATAATGGTCTCCACCATGGTGATCATACCCAAGAAAATGCTTATACTATGATTCTGACTTCAAGTATGCTCTACTAAACACGTATTACCCTTTTTAAATAGCTTGTTTGTTTGTTTTTAAATATATTCCTTTATTTGAAGTATAACTAAAGGCAAAATGTTTTCTTTTTAGATTTGGTTAGAGTGGTGAGGAGTTAAAAGCACAGTCAGGTTTTCATTGCCATCTCTGTCCTAGTTGGGGATATTCACTTTCTATAACACCTATGTCATCGGGAATTATAGTGAGGGTAAATCCAAAATTCTGAGTTACCACCAGAAAGGAATAGAGGGGAAGTCATGCAATATGGACATTTGTTTCTGTGACATCTGTCTGAAGCTGGCCACACACTGTATGAATTCAGGAACCAGGCAAAATGCGCTCAGTGGGTGGCCCTGACAGCTGCCTCCTGCCCAATATTCCGTAAATGAGGTAAAAAAAAAAAAAAAAAAAAAAAAAAAAAGAGAAAAAAAAAGTCAGCTGAAAAGCAACCGCGGCAAGAGATTTGTCTAACTGTGCTGCATAGCAACTATAAAAGAATGTGGTAAATTTTTCCATTTGGCTAAGAAGTGTATGGCCAGCTTCAGAGTAGAGTTCCTTGACATTGTAAAGATATCCCCTCACTTCCTTTTAAGTCTACCAGACAAGAAGGAAATTCTCCAACAAGACACAGATTGCTAAAAGATATAAAATTGACAGTGCTCCAGCTAAAAATTGAAAGATAAACTTTAACTTGCAATAAAAATGTTGAAATGTGAATGGTACAGGTTCCAATCAGATGCATTAAGCAGAAGTTAAACATAGTTTGGGGTACTGTACCGGCAATCACAGCAAGTACAATCTTTAAAATCCCTCACGGCAAGGGCACAAAAATACAGTTCAGTCAGCAGTATGCACATACAGGGGAAGAGTTACTAAAAAAATAGACTGTTCCATTTGCATGAGAACTTGCATTTTAAAAGACATTTTTCCCCCAGAGATTAGCAAATGACATGAAGCTCTGCTAACTACCCTCCGCTAGTCACATTCAAACGAAAATCTATTTTTTTTTTGTCTACGTGACTGGGTATTCTTTGCAAAGAAAAATTTTCACCATGTTCACTAAGCCCTGGGGAAAATTCCCTTGCAAAGTGCAGCTTAACTCACAAAGTGAACAGCCTATTTTCTTTTAGTAAATGAACTCTATTGACTTAGAACATTTAGGCTCGGTTCACACTACTGCAAGCCATACGGCCTGCGTTTGCTCAGACAGAACAGCATATTTGATTGCTTGCACCTTTTTAAAAATGCATCTGCAGGGAAACCGCATGGTCTTTTTGATCATGCAGTTTCCCTGTATTTCCCGCACCAGCAAATGCGCTGTGGCCTGAGATGCGTAGAAATGCCATTCAAAATAAATGACAGCCCCGAATGTTTTGCAAGTGCTGCGAGATTCAGCTGCGGGTGGTTGTGAGTGCAGAAATAGGTGCGATTCCTGCACCCGTAATCAGCCCACAAGTGTGAACTTAGCCTCAAGCAGCTTTTGGAAGAAAGTAGACAGGGTTTATTAACACCGAAGGGTTCTGGCCTGAGGCTACAATTATAGGTGAAAGTAACAAATTATTTTTTTTCCCAAGATGAAGTATGGTAGTAAACAATTGTTAAATGTAATTGAACACATAACAGAACACAAGTGCAGTTTCTGATAAAAACAAACCAAAAACAACCCCTTCTTGGTGAAAAAGGCCTTTAACATTCATAGACATGTAGATGTAGAAAGGCTTACGTTAAAAACGCGCCTATTAGGAACTGCATGACCACAACCCCTCAGTAGGACATAGCAAAGACACAGGAAAAAACACACCCATCGCCAATGATCAAAAGGCAGAAAAATGATTCTCCTTGTGTAATTTAGAAGATTAGTTCGTTTGCATATAAGCAGCCCCCCAGAGTTTACCAAGTCAAAACTATTATAAGGTTATATTTAAAAGGTGTAAAGAATTTTGTAATTTTTTTTTAAACTATTAAAACATTCTTTTTTACACTGGAGTCTTCCTTTAATGTTTTTAATGTGCTCTAAAAGGCTTATTAATAAATAAATAAAATTTTGAGGCCTTCTACAAGGTCTCAGCAAATGTCTACAGGTTCTTGTGCTATATCTAAGTCAAACTTATCTGACTGCCGTGTGTTCGGGTTACCCGTTCTGGTGGGGTTTATATACCTGACTTCATCCCTACAGACTGAGACAACTAAGGTTTTGGCAGCAATAAGGAACAATAGAGGTAGCAGGAGGCCTGAGTCGTGTATATTGTTCAAGACGTATTTGCTGAGCAAAGTTACCAGAAGATAAGTTGCATATCTCCCCCTATACCCTTTATGCAGTGCTCTATGGTCACAACATGGAAGCTTTGCTTGCTCCTCTGTCCAGGAAGGTAGCATTAAAAAAAAAAACACATGCATGCATTTTCATTTGAGAACTGATAGTATATTGCTTATGGAAAGTTATCCGCCTCACCTCCCCAGAACCAGCATGGACAATATTTAACATTGCATATATTCAGATAAATTTCACAATAAGCCTTTCTTGAACAGAATGTTACTTTTCCATGTCACTGGAAAGTGTTGAAATAATGAAAAAACAGATATGCAATTAGGACATGTAACAAAATAAATAAAAAGGTAAAAAAAAAAAAAAATATATATATATATATATATAAAATCTTGCGCACAACAATTCATCACACTGACATACCAAGTTTGCATGCCTCAAATCAGACCCATTGATAGTTTTAGGCATTTTCAAATGACTGCTCCCTGCTTCACCGTCAACAAACACCATCATACGCCAAACAGTGGATAAAATTGTTAACTCTTTTAAGACTAAGGGAAGGGGGAAAAAAAAACCCAAGTTCATTTTTGTAGCTGCTGTTCAAGTGCAACGCTTCACATGCTCTAAAACATATTCTGGAAAATGCAGACTACATACTTGTAGGCCATCCAATTTGCAAGGCATTCTGGGATACTCATCTTCTTTCCATTTGTTCTCTTCTGGATCAAATGTTAAGATGGAGTCACTATAATGGCCATTGTAACATAGCCCACCAAGTACCATTATTTGTTTGTCGAGTACAGCCACACCATGACCACTCCTTCCAATTGGCATAGATGCTAGAATGGTCCACTGGTCTGTTTCTGGATCATACACCTCAGTAGAAGGACATCCCTGTGATTCAAAAGAAGCCCTTAGTATGACGCAAACACCCCCAAACACATAGAGCTTTCCATTGTAAGAGATCATTTTGTGAAAACATCTAGCATAGTTCATTTTACATTTGTTTTCCCAACAGTTGGTGTGTACTTGTGTTCTTCGGGTTCTTTGTTCCACTGTGCCTTCTTTGCTTGGGTCAAAAACACAGACTTGCTTAGAAGTTGAAGAGGATGTAATTCCACCAGTGATGAACAGCTTATTGTTGAGAACTGTACCCTCATGGCCATACTTGTTTACTGGATAAGGGTCCACAAATTCCCATTTGTTTTCTATTATATCATAACGTTCTGTAGAGTAAAAGGTTTCATCACGCGTCCTACCAGCAACAGCATAAATATATCGCCCTATAACACCCACTGCAAATTCCGATCGAGGCACAGACATATCAGCCATCCGAACCCAGCTGTTTTGCCTTGGATCATATCTAAACACTTTGGAAGAAGCATGAAATTCTCCATCTGGACCCAGTTCTTCTCCTCCAAGCAAAAAGACAAAGTTGTTAACAATGGCAAGGCAGTCGGGCCGAAGAGGTACGAGAGGACCTTCAAGTTCCCACCACACTCGTGGTTTGTGCAGCAGAAGAATTTTGCTGTTGACCATGCTGTGTCCAATCATGCCTCTGAATACTGCCGTTTGAGGTTTTGCTGAACGAATATGATTGGATTTCATATCCATCAAAGGTTGCTCGCTTACATTGTGAAAGTAATTTAGAGCCAACTCCACTTCCTGCCTTAGCTGACGTGAATATCTGTAAAACTCAGAAGTTTTTACCTGTAAGAGAAAAAAACAATGTAAAAAACGATGTGCCCTATTAATTCTATCATGAAGTCCAAGCAATACTAAGACTTACATTACTTTTCAGTTCTGCAAGGTAAAATCTGTTGCTACATATCTTCATATCAGTAACAGTCATAGAAACAAGGCAATAGGAAGTACTAATGTCTCTCCAAACTACCAAGGGTGACATACCCGGCCTCTGAGCACCATTCTGGTGATAACTTTATCTACATCAACATGAAACGTGTTAAATTGTTAAATACTCTGACTACATTATACAGTGATATATACCCAAGTACAGAGCTTCCCCAACCCCCCAAAAAAAAAAAAAAAAAAAAAAAAAAAAAAGTATATGTATTATGTATGATAGGCCTACTTTGCAATTGTAAGTAAGAAGCAGTTGACCCATGTTTTTTTTTTACCAAACCGACCCCTCCCCAACTGTTCCCTTTTCTCCCAGTTAAGCTGCAAAGGCAGTGGGTGGGGGGTGGGTGTACATACACCACGGCTAGTATGCAAAGCATTACATCATAGCAAAAACAAAAACCCCTGTTGTTGAGTTCAGTGCCAGTAAAGTACGGCCATTCAACTGGGCTACCCTGAGCATGAGGATGCCCTACAACCACGCTGATGCAGGCTTGAGGAGCTCAAACAGTCAGTGAGGAGGCAACAGAACACCTCCTCACCACCTGTCAAATTCCCTCTGAACAGCAATCCAATGGGGATCACTCTTCAGAGGGCAACACAAGTGTAAAGGAGGCCTTACTCTTCTATGAAAGACTAAGAGCATCTGTAGACAAACTAGACAAAATGTTGGAAGAAACAGCAATCAGACAAGATCATAAACTTTGTCCAATTGCTACTGTTTTTGAGATAAGGCAAAAAAGGTATATACATGAATGTTCTAAAGCCTGTTTATGCTTATCAGTAGCTATAAATTTGGGAGCCCTTCATCACCAGGCCATTTTTTGCTATTCGGCACTGCACTACTTTAACTGGCATTTTCTCTGGACATGCAACCCTGAACTCAAATTAATTTTACATAATTTTTTTTTCAAAACAAATAGGTTCTTTGTGAATACACACACACTTTTTTTTAAAAATATCTTTTACTTCCAAAGGGTGTATATTAACTGGTTTGTGTGAAAGTGATAGCGTCTACAAACGAAGATATATACTGGAATTTTTATATACTAGTAATGGTGGTGATCATCAACTTATACTGGGAATACTGGGATCGTGCAGCAGGCAATCTGATACTAATATTACCAGTGACACCAATACAGCGATCAGTGCTACTCTTATACACCGTACGGATGACACAGGCTGGGAAGGGGTTAATATCTTGGGATTAGGGATGCATCGAAATTTCGGCCACCGAAACATATCAGCCGAAAATAGCCCTATCGGCATAGGAAAAATTTAGCCGATACAAGAAACTGTGTGTACTGCAGATGTGAGGGGACGGCTGAGAAAGGCAGGAGAGGAGTAGTGTATACAGTGACTGGCTGTCACTATGGGGTTTATTTACTAAACCTGGAGAGTGCAAAGTCAGGCTCACGTTTGCATAGAAACCAATCAGCTTCTAACCTCAGCTTGTTCAATTAAGCTTTGGCAATGAAACCTGAAAGCTGATTGGTTTCTATGCAGAAGTGAGCCTGACTTTGCACTCTCCAGGTTTAGTAAATAAACCCCTATATGTCAGTGCCGGTTTTTAAATGCAATTGCTGGCTTTTTTTTTTTCCTTCACTATAGCTCACAGAATTAGCTGTCACTTTCCCCCCAGCTAAAAGAAACAGTTTCCTTTTAGTTTATATCCCAAGATAAAAGAAACAAAAAATGTCCCTTAGCTCTGGGAAAGTGACAGCTCATTCTGTGAGCCATAGTGAAGAAAAAAAAAAAAGCGAAAAGCAGGCAATTGCATTTAAACACCGGCTCTGACAGCGACAGCCAGTGAGGGAGTCTCTCTGTATACACTGCTCCCTCACTGTATACACTGCTACTCTCCTGCCCCCTCCTTGCACACACTGCGCCCCACCCCACTACAAAGAGGACCTGTCACTCATATGCTATCACATAGGGGACTATTGATCCCCTATGTGATAGCAATAAAATCATAGGTTAAAAAAAAAAAAAAAAAAAAAAAAAAGTAGTACATGAAAGTAGGAAAAAAAAAAAAAAAAAAAAACGAAAAAAAAAATGGAGCCTCCCCACATACGCAGACATTTCGGTTTCGGTTCGGCTTTCGGCCACATTCATTCTGCATTTTCGGTATCTGTTTCGGCACCAGAATTTTTATTTTGGTGCACCACTACTAGGGATAATGAAAGTGTTTACTGTGTGCCTAACAAACGTATACTGTATGTAAAGTGTGCTGTTTTTACTCTCTCAGGGAGGAAAAAAAAAAACAAAACACAGGCACATCACTGCTGTCTGTACAGAGCTCTGTTCTGTCATTTGTTCAGCCAATCAGCTGGCCCCAGCCATAAATCATTGTCCGGGACTCACAAATTGGCTTGTGCTGTAGCGAATGACAGCACAGCTGGTCGAATGCCCCCTACCCATAAATGCTGGATCATGTACACACACGCATGCACTCACACACACCACCATGTAGCAGTAAAGCTACAGGAGGTGGTCTGCAAGCAGATAATGCTTTGTTTTAAACTGGTTCAATTTTAGTTATTTTTGTATCAAACTATTTCTTCCTTGTATCAGGTTTCCTTTTTAACATGTACTTATTACATCTACTTCAGCTCACACTTTCTGAACCAACAATGAGAACACTAGAGAAACACTCTCAATAATAACATGATTTCAACCACAGGTAGCAAGTTCATGATTTGACAGGTCTGTTATGTGTGAAGAATGGGGTTCTATTTATTATTCACTTAGATAAAGCAGAATATAAGGCAAGGCCATCTAGTATCAGGTATTTTTTCACTAGGTATATTGACTGCTGGATTCGTCCAGCCCTGTCGTATCCTTTATTTTACATATCAGAAAGCCAGACCCATTGACACAATAACATGAATTCTTCAGAAAGTGTAATACGACACTTTGGACAGAGTGAATGTGCAGTCAGGTTTTTATTGCAGTTTTAGGCCCTATTGGAGGGATTTATTAAAGCACCAATATCTAACCTAAATGCAAAATATACCCAAGATGGGGTAGTACAAGAGTATTTTACTCAATTATATTTGGACCAGGAAAAGACTATATGTCTATGGGCACCCTTCAACCTCTGTTAAAAACCTTCTGGGCATTAGACATATAATGGGAAGAATTTGACTAGATTGGATTTTATAGGCTATTCATTCTGCCTTGAGATGAGGCTTGCACAAGGAATGTCTTGTTGAAGTATGAACATGTACACTCGCCTGAAACTAGTATACATGTTTAAGTGAAGATAATTCTGCAGTCTCATGTCTGTCAGGGAGGCACACAATAGCTTATCTCCCTGATATTCTTTCCTTTCTCCATCACAGGCAAACTGTAAACTTCAGCACTGTAAAGCTTTGGTCAGCCTTACCCATTTGCTGAGCCAAGACATAAAATCAAGGCTGGAAATGCACACATTTTAAATTCAGAAAGTGACAGTTTTTGAAACCAAGAAGAGGGGGAGAATTTCCAGTAAGGAAGTTACTACTCTGGGCTTCAACAAAATGGCAGCCTACAGCAAGAAAAAAAACAGGACCAATGCTTGAGGCAATTTACAGCATATGCTAATTTTGTTAGCTTAACCATTAATGTGGAATCTAATAGTCAAATTGTAAAGTTCAGCTTAAATGTGACCCTTTACTCTGCTTTGCCCAACCAAGATGAAGCAACAACTTCTCCTTAGGGTCAGGAGGGTAAAAGGGGCATATATTTCACTTAAACTTACTCCAAGAGTAAAAGGACATCAAAGCTCTCCTGCCTGCCCTCTCAAAAAACAAAGTTGCTAAATTGTCATGTGGAGGTGAAGAGATGGTCCTCCTAAAGTTTAAATCCAGATGTAAACAAAGCAGCAGGGGAAATGCCAGGACCAAACACTCCTTACCCTTCCTAACTACCTAAACTAAAGCCAATTTCTTATTTTGCAATAAATTAAAAACTCTGTTAATGTGCTATTCTATATATATTTTAAAAAAACAATTGCGCATTCACACTCCTGTTCTATTTGTAAGGAGTAATGTCGGGAAGCCAAGTCATCCTAAGACTAACGTCTGGTGCACATGGCGAGTTTATTTTTTTGGTCAACCCAGCAGGCTGAAAACAAAAAAAAAAACAAACAAAAAAACAACAACAACAAAACAAAGAGATATCACCATACTAGGCAATGTTAGTGCAGCGATCTCTCTCTCCCCGCCCCCACCGAAACACACTGAGCAGTGCTCACAGCTATTGGCTGCAAGTGCTGATCAGATGCTGGTCTTCCAGCATGCCCGTTCAATAAATGCCAGTCACCAGACTGGCTTCTTTTGGACAGGCTGCTGCGCACACACAGGCCCAAAATGTTGTCCGGTTTCTGTTGAACTGGCCGATATTTGGCCCATGTGTACCAGCCTAAAGCAGTAAGTAAAATATCTCAGAAATAAGGTGTTATTAACCACTGAGCAATCCATCCAAAAACAAAAACCACACCATTCAATATGTGAAAATAAACTACAAAAGAAAGGTTTGTTACAGGCCCCATTAATCCTCAAAAAGTGCAATAGTTTGAGATCTGTAATGGTTTATTTTGCAATACTGAAAAAGTAACAAAATAAAAAGATAAAATTGTCACAAAATTTTCTAGGATATAAGTGGGGTTCTCTGCAGCTTCTAGTCGCTTCTTCCATATCTTTGTTTTGCAATCTAAAATTTCTAGTTATTTCTTACCAATTAGAGAAGGGATGCCCTAGCTACTTTATAAATCCTGTCTAGGGGTTTCAAACTCACCAACCTTCTCACAGACATGGGATGGGGTCATCAAACAAAACCTGATGTTCTGAATGATGCTATCTGTGTGTCTCCAACGTCTCCTATCATGCCGTAACCAGGCCTGAACAGCTTCATAGAGCTCAATCTCAGGAAACCGGCTCAGACGGTCATTGTCCAAGTAGCTCTTGAGCTTTTCAAAGCTAAGGTAGGAGAGGAAGTCAGGTCTAGCCATAAGGGGAACAAAGTTTTCCAGCAGAAAGGTATCGAGTTTTTCCCTCACGCCTTCTACATCCACACTGAAATCATCTAAAAGCCTCATGATCTCTGCACAGTTGTCCAGGCAAATTTTTGCCATGAGGAAAGAACAGCAAAATTTCACTACTTCTGTCAGCTGCACATACATAGCGGCCTGCAGAATTTCATGGACGGTAGCCATACTGAGGTCAATGGTCCCATAGTACATAAACTGAATGACATGACTGAAGCCTGTTGCTGTCAATCCCCCTTAGGTAGATTTTGTCCTGGTCACGTTCTCTCATGTCTGCGGTGAACATGATGCGGAAGTAGTCACTTTGTGTTGCCAGTAGAGCTTTGTGGGCTTGGAACTGGTGATCTTCTATCACTAGAGTGACATCGACCAATAAGCCTTCTTCATATAGTGTCCTGAAGCCAGCAGAGACACTGCTATCATGGATTGAAGAAGTATACCCTTCCACGTCCCCAGCCATGAATTCCCTTTGGAGAAAAAAAAAATAAAATAAAAACATTGCTATACCGACATGAATATTATGCAATAGTGCATTACATTACAAGTAACAGAACAGGATAAAAGTAAAATATTCTAATAGCATATATCTTTAGGCCACATTCATACAGCCAGTTATATGGTGCCACTGGATTCCAGCAGCAGGAATGACTGAGGCATGCAAACAGCAATTGACTTTTAGCCTGTGGTTATGGATTATTGTCTGACCCTGGACGAAGACAGGATCCTTACTGCACGTTACTCCTATGTGCAGCTAAATGCCAACAGCGGTGGTCCCCGTCAGCCTGTCAATTTAATAGGCTTAGCAGCCATGGTTTCTCGCTTGCCTTGGTTATTCCAGCCACAAGAAACCACTAGGGATGCACCAAAATTTCAGTGGCCAAAATGTTTCGGCCGAAAACACCCCTTTCAGCTGTCAGCCGAAAGGAGAAAAAAAAAAAAAAAAAAAAAAGCACCGATACAGGTGCCGAAAAAACCCCACCCCTCGCCACCCACCTGCTGCAGTCGCCTGCCACTCAGTAGTTCAGCCTTACCTGAGAAACCATTGATCCTGGCACTGGGCAAAGAGATGAGTGAAGGAAAGATAGCCGCCACACATCTCTATGCCCTTGGAGGAAAGGAGCGATGTCACTTCCTGTTCTGGCCATTTTATTTATTTATTTTTTTTTTTTTTCAAAAGCACTAGATCAATGCTTTTTTTTTGATCCAATGCTTTTACTGCAGAGGAGAGATGTGGGGTCTTATTGACCCCATATCTCTCCATAAAGAGGACAGGTCACTTATTATTTCTATCACAAGGGATGCATGCATTTCTTGTGATAAGAATAAAAGAGATTACATTTTATTTAAAGGAACAGTGCAGAAAACAAAAAAAAAAAACAAAAAAGAAAAAAAAAAACGTTAAATATGTAAAAAAAAAAAAAAAAAAAAAAAAAAAAAAAAGTTTAAAGTGCTTCCATCCCCGCAAGTAGTGGTGAACGCCTACGTAGGCCATGCCCACACATGTAAACGGTGTTCAAACCACATGTGGGGTATCGCCACGAACGTAAGAGCAATAATTCTCGCACTAGACCTCCTCTAACTTTACACTGCTAACCTGTAGAAATTTTTAAAGCATCACCCATGGAGATTTTTAAGTACTGCAGTTTCACCCCAAATTTTAAACGCGACATGTTGGGTATCTATTTACTCGCCGTAACATCCGCTTTCATATTTTACAAAATAATTGTGGTATATATTTATATATATATTATGGTATATATATATATATATATATTTTATTTTTAATCAAAGTGTATTTTTATCCCAAAAATATGTATTCATTTTTAAAAAAACTGCGCATTTTGGTTTTCGGCCAAGTGCATTTTGAAGTTTCGTTTTCGGCACCAGAATTTTAATTTTGGTGCACCACTAGAAACTACAGATTCTTGCCGCTGGAATTAAGTGGCTGCATGTGACCGGCTCTGTGAAAGAGGCCTTATTATGTAAAACATACTCTTGAAATCAAAAGCATTGCTTGTTATTTTAAGGCCTCTTGCACACGGCACTTTTTTTTACTGATCTGAACACTGATGCATTGTTGTCTATAGAACATAGCAGCGCAAAGATCAGCAATTCAGGAATGATTACAGAGCCGTAAAATAAAAACAGAAAATTGTATGCTCGAGTGCAGCAATTTATGCACATACCTGTGTATAAGCATGTATACACACTTGTATAGCAACAAAGACAAGTAGCAGAGGACGGTGAAGAAATTGACGCATGTATATACAAGGTCTTTACAGAACATTTCATTCAGGATCAGTCTGACAACAGAATCCTAAATATAAACATCAGTAAATGATTATGTCCATGTGCAAAAGGCCTACTAGTTATTATACAGGATTTATATAGCGCCAACAGTTAGCGCAGCACTTTACAATATAAGGGAGACAGTACAATTACAATACATGTCAGTACAGAAGGAATAGGAGAGCCCTGCTCGTGGAGCTTACAATCTAAAGGAAGGAAGGGGGGAGCACAAAAGGTGATAGCTGTAGGTGATGTTCTTATGGAGGTGGCTCAAGTACAGTTCTTAGGTGGAGGTGGGGTAGGCTTCCCTGAAGAAGTAAGTTATCAAAGATCGCATAAAGGCACACAGGATGGGGGCTGACCGGACATACTGCGGTAGGGAGTTCCAGAGGTTTGGAGAGGGTCTGGAGAAGTCCTGGAGGCGACGAGGAAGCTAGAGAGCAAGATGCCTTGGGAGGAGCGGAGCGGGTGATTTGGACGATATCTGCAGATGAGGTTGGTGATGTAGCTAGGGGCAGTGTTGTGGATGGCTTAGTATATTGAATTTTATACATTGGGTTAGTGGAAGCCAGTGAAGAGATTGGCAGCAGTCACTGATTGGTTGGTAAGGTGTATGAGTCTAGCAGCAGCATAACAGACTGAAGGGGGGATAACCTGTGTAACGGTAGACCAGTGAGGAGGGAGTTGCAGTAGTAAAGGCGGGATAAGACCAAGGTGTGGATAAGTTGTTTTCTGGTGTCATTGGTCAGAAAGGGGCAGATTTTGGAAATGTTACGGAGGTTGAGGTGGCAGGATTTAGCTAGTGACTGGATGTGGTGCCCAAAGGAGAGGTCAGAGTTTAGGCTTACACCTAGCACCCTGCCATGAGGGGAAGGACCAATGGTTGTGCTGTTAATCTTACTGGTAAAGTCATGAGTGGGGAATTGGGGAGGAGGAAATATTACAAACTGTTTTGCTTGAGGTGATTGTAGCCGTATTAGTGTATTTGCGGCAGAAACAATTTGAGTACTGTCCGTGATACTTTTTTTTATTTGCACTAACAAACAATTTTGAGGACAAGCTTTCGGGGAGTGTTCCCTTCTTCAGGTCAAAGCTGTTCTGGAAAGAGTGAGTTTAAGGTAGTGGTGTGACATCCATGCCGATATGTCGCTTAGCAGATTTTCCACTAAATATTTCCTAAAGAAATGTGATGAAGGTCCCCAGAAGTGAACACTTTATATACTGTATGTGCATAGGACAAATGAAAACAACAAATACTGGACAGAAAATATTTGAACCAGTGGCGGTATATAAGCAAAGTCTAGCCAGGTTTTCTTTAAGTGTATAGATAGCCCAGATCTTTTTTCATTTTGAATAGAGTGGGGAAGGAAAAAGAACCACCGTAAAGATTTTATTGAATTTGGTTTCTTATTGCGTAGATTCACCCTTCACCTAAGAGTCACTGATTTCTTGAGTTTAAGTGGTGCAAAAACATTTAGAGTCCTGATGACCATTATCACAATGGGAGAAGACAAAGTGGGAAATCTAAAATTTTATAGATGTCACCAGAACAAGAGATGAGGGGAAAGCTTTCAAAATGGGTCTCCTGTCCCAGTGATGGGAGAATTTCTGCTGCTACGATAGTAATCCTTGTGGACTTCAGGATCCTATGCTGAGCAGATGCCCTGCAACAATTAACACGGGAGGTCACTAGCTCAATAAGGCTACATTCACACTAGCCTTGTTTGCAAGTGGCAGACAGGCGTTTGGGAAGCGCTTTTACCATTTCCCAAATGCCTGGGAAAATTCTGCACACTGCAGCACATGGTGCTGTTTACACGGGAGCGTTAGCGCCACGGCAAAACGGACGCCTCTGATCGAGTCAGGAGGAGTTGAAGCCTCCTATTTAAGTCTATGTTGCCGCTCCACAAACGCCCGGTGTTTGCGGAACGTTAACACAGCATTCAAACTTCATTATAGGCGTTTGTGGGGCGTTTTTAATGCTTTGCAAACGCATAGCAACCGCCACTAAACTGCACATGCGGTGCTTGCGAAGCGGTAAAAAACGCTCTGCAAACGCCAGACCAACGCTTGTCAAACGCTATAGGGGGAGTTGAAAAAACAGTCAAGTGTGAACGAGCCCTGAGTGTGCCATTTGCAGAACGCTTTGCACCTATCTCACTGGATGCAAAGAGTTCCCTAGCTGGATGAGCTGAAGAGCCGAGACAGCATGGGACCTGGAAGACAGCGAAAATCACTGTAGTAGCGGAGTTACTACAGCAATTCTCCACTTCCACAGGGATCAGCTAGGTGTGGAATAGCATACTTACATCAGTCCAAGCTGGACCAATTCAACTATGGAAAGAAAGTAAAACTATAACTGGAATTCAGCTTTAGGCACCTTGTACATGGGGCCCATCTAGCTGCTGTGTATTCCTTCCAGGGTTCCAGACTCCATTCACACGTGTGCGACTTGTCATTCTCCTTTGGGCACACAGGGGTTTAGTTACTAAAGCTGGAAAGTGCAAAATCAGACTCACTTCTGCATAAAAACCAACCAGCTTCCAGGTTTTATTGCCAAAGCTTAACTGAACAAAGCTGAGGTTAGAAGCCGATAGGCATCTATGCAGAATGGAGCCTGATTTTCCACTATCCAGCTTTAGTAAATAAACACTATAAAATCACATGACAAGACGCAGCCCATGTATTTCAATGGAAGCTGTTCAAACCTATGCGGCTTAAAATCGCAGCAACTTTAAAAAGGTTCCTGCACTACTTTGATGCGGCTTTCATGTGACTTGAGTGCCAAAAACTGTAATATAAAAACTCTAAAAAAGTCACATGAAAGTTAAATCTTAATGTTATAAATGCGACAGTTGTGCAACAGTCAAAGCCAAAGTCGCACCCATCCAAAGTTGCCTCAAAGT